ATGTGGATGTGGTATTGTCTTTCTTGGATGACCGTCAGACGGAGATGTGATGTCAGGTTGACCTGGTCAGTGTGTGCGATAAGTGTGTAAACGTAGGATGGATGTGATCGTTGTCTGACACGGTCGAGCATAGAGCTGTACGTTGACGTCAGTTGCATGCGGATGTGATCATAATGTGATAGAACTTGTATGCGCATCTGATCCACGTTGGTTCTCGCATTCAAGCTCGGTCAATGTGGGCGATAGATGTGTCACGTCTTGGTCAACTGAAGAATGTGATCGTCAAACTTGTGGTGTTGGTTTCTGCTGATGCGGGTGCTTTTCCATGCCTTATAATGTGCTCTGATGACCTTGCATGATCCTTTATAGGTTGCCCTATGTTGATCTTACGATGCGCTCCATCGGCTCCATCTGATATCCAGAGTGATCGACTTGTTTTGATTTTCTGTGTCGATCAGATTGAGTATAGACCTTCTCGTATATGCGTCAGAGGGCGCTTTCTGATGCCAAAGTGATGTGCAAAGATCCTAGATGTATGTCTCCCACCTATTGCCCTTTCGATGAGCCTCAGAGAATATTTTAGCGATTTATTTCGAGTTATGACCCTGAACTATATTCATGTGGCTATACACGTCTACTTGGATGATGTCATACTGTACTGGTTCAATGGCCACGAAGAATTGCGATTTTTCGAGCTATAGAACGCCCTATTAACTTCAACAATGCTCCTGCGATGAGCCCAAGTAAGGGTGTGAACGGCTGACTCAGACGCTTACTTAACCCTTACTTAATGCTTGATGTTTCCACGCCCCGTGGCGGCAGTGTCACGGCGCGGCCGAGCCGCAGCGGCACATTTCCACGCCACGTTGTGGCAGTGTCACGACGCGCGCATCGCTGACCGTGGCAGTGCTGTGCCGCGCGTCGCGCCGAACAGCCCGGGACCTACGGTCACCGTGGCAGTGTCACGACGCGCGTGGCTCACCGTGGCGGTGTCGCGACGCGCGTGGCTCACCGTGGCGATACGGCACGTGCCTCGCATGGCTCACCGTGGCGGTGTTACGACGCGTGTTTGCCGAGCGCGCCGGGTCCCACGTTCACCGTGGCAGTGTCACGACGCGCGTCGCTCACCGTGGCAGTGCCGTGCCGCGCGTGGCGCCGAACATACCGGGTCCCACGTTCACCGTGGCGGTGCTACGACGCGCGTTTGCCGGGCAGGCCGTTTCCCACAATCACCGTGGCAGTGTCACGACGCGCGTTTTGACCCCCTGCCGAGCTCGCCGAATTCCCACGATCACCGTGGCGGCCAGCAATCCTCCCGGCACCATCCCCACCAAAATATTGGTGGGGTAATGCCCACAGCGCCTTAAATCGCGAAAATATTCAGGGAGGTACCCATCACGGTTACAAAGAGGCGTTGTCAGACGGTGAGTAGCTATTCAGTTGGGAACCGTCGAGAAAAACGGACGGTGAATTATGAGCATCATTTGTTTCGATTTAAAAAACCGATTGTTCGATGTATACTGCAATATATGAAGCTTCTAAAATCTTGAAAAAATGGCCAGTGGGAGGGGATTGGTGAACATGATTTTTTGACATACCAACCGTGGGAATTTGATCCCTGGATGATCCTCCAGGCCCTTCTCACCGTTTTAGGAGGATATGATGAATTACGGAACGACTGCCAATATAAAGTGAGTTGCGAGAACAGTTCTGGATTCAGTACTTCTGGGGCTATGCACTGACACCCCAAACATCCAAAACTGAGACGCCCGGAGGTCAGCCTGACCTCCTGGCTGGGACAGGGCTAGGCTCGCCGGGATGAGCTGGCTCAGTACCAGCGCCTCCCCATTTTCGAAGTCCCCAAGGACGGGGACATCGAGATGGGCGACCAGAGTCGATCTGGTCAAAAAGAGGCTGTCTTTATCAAGTTTGACTCGATAGAGACTTCTCCCGTTTGGGGCATCGCGGCCCGGCTTCTCATCGAGTTGCCGGTGTTTGCGTTCCGCGTGCTTTCCATCGTGGAAGCCCGGGAGGCGGCCAAGGACGCTAAGTCCAAAGCCAAGACCTCGCTCCAAAAGACGGCCCAAGGTGACAAGGTGGATCTGCCCGCGCTGGATCGAGCCACCCAATCCCTCATCGACAAGGTCGTCTCCGCGAAGGTCAAGCAGGTGAGTAAAGGCACTTCTCTCAGTTATCGAGAGCTGCATGATCTGATACATCCTTTTGAACGTTCCTCCCTTGGGGAAACGTCCATAGGAGACCGCGGCTTCCAAGCGAGACCTCAAGCAGGAACTCGCTACAGCAAGAAAGGCCCGGCAGAACGACAAGCCGTACGTTCCGCCCCCTCTCGGCAAGAACGGTCGGCGCGAAGGCGCCAACGTCCAGGGAGGGAAGAAAAAGAAGGGTCAAGCCCCGTCCACGTCCACGTCGTCGAAAGGCGACTCGCAGGGGAAGGGCGGGCAGTCTGGAAAAGGGAAGAAGCAGGGCCCCGCTCGCAAGGGCGACAAGGGCAAGCAGAAGGCCACCTAGAGTACCTTCAGCGGGTTGACATGTCGAATTATGTATGGCCTAACGCTGCTACGATCCCGGACGCATTATTAGAAGTGTCTTTACCTCGCGCTGTAAGATTGCTCCATCTGTATATGCCATACGACGTTGCTGTGGCCGCCCAATACAGAGCTGTTGTGCATCTATCGACCGGCGTTGAGGTCCCAGATGATATTCAATACCAATTATCGGTAGGAATGAGGTACATGTTTCATAAGAAGCGTAATGTCGAACTTCTCGACACTGCGTATGCAGACTTCGAACGGCGATTACGTTGGCGCATCATGTTCTTATTCAAGGGTGAACAACGCCCCTATGATCCAGACTTTGACCTACATCGTTCTGTAACGACTAAGGTACCAAAGTTGCCACAATATATTGAACACGCTATCGGCCTGGGTAAGCGCTTCGTCTCCAATACGATCGCTCGAATCCCGCCGCAAGAACACCATCCACTACCTAAGTCGCTTCGTATGGATGTTCAGCGTGTCAAGGAGTTCTTATTGAATAACGATCTAGTTGTCACTGCGACTGATAAGAACTTAGGGCTGGCAGTCTCGAAGCGCACCTGGATTATAGAAAAGTGTCTTGATCTACTTAATGACGAAGCTAACTATAAGCCTCTCAACGAGTGGCAGCTTATGCAGATCATGAACAGAAAAAAATCAGCCATCACCGCACTTGCTGGCGATGTTACTAATTGTGACATTGTTGTTTCGGCGTATATGGCGCAGCAGAACATTGATACGGATGCTCTAGGGAAGTTTCTCAGATCACAGTTATGGGAAACTATTGAGCAATGCAAAAAAAGCATTCCTTTATTCTATGGTATCCCAAAGATCCATAAGAAGCCGACTAAAATGAGACCTATAATACCTTGTCACTCGGCCGCTCAAAATCCCGCTGCAAAATACTGTAGTAAAAGACTCAAACCTCTCATCCAAGAGGCGCCAGCCATTATACAT